CCCCCCCCCAGCTCCTCCATTTAAGGTAGTCCCGGGAAGACAACTTGTCAGCGAACACCGTGCTTGAGTTCCTGCTTATCGTCGTGCGTGTTGGGGTGTGACTTTGGGTTCCGAGTTGAAAAACGTGTTCTGGTCAATGCAGATAATTGTGGAATTTGCTTCACATTGTCGCCTGGGGCTTGTCGACCTTCTAGTTACACGGAAGACAGGCATACGTGGAGATGTGGGGGCGGGGGCGAGGGTGGTAGTCGTGCTGGCGGCGTGGTGGCGGTGGGGATGGCGGCGGTCACCGATGATGCCTGGTTGATGGCGCGATTCGGTCCGGCTTCTGCTTGCCGCGCACAGCATCAGGTTTGTCTGATTTTGACTTCACTGATGAGCACCGCAGGTGCTGCTAGTGGCTCTAACTGTCTTCCTTTTCTTCTGTCTTCGCTTCACGTAACTCTGTCGCGGCCAGCCTCGGGCTGCATTTCGACTGCAGCAGCGGGTTTGAGGTGGAGAGGGCTATCGCGGCGGGAGTGCCCCCTCAGAGCCTGTGTCTCAGGTGAGCAGCGTCTTACGGAAGGCGTTGTTGCTGCTGCTGCTAGTGGTGGTGGTGGCAGCAGCGATTGGGGTTGTCGCTGTTGTTGGTACTTACAAAGTGAATCCCTTTGTGGGCCTTTACCCCTGCCTGGCACCTCCGCATTCCATACCATATATTCCGTATCAGCTTCTCTTCCCGATGAGGGTCAACGGTTTTCCATGTCCAGAGTTCTTGATTGAGCGTCTCCCTGTCCGACTGACCCGTACCCGCAAGACCCAGCATCCCGCGGGGAGCTGAGCTGGTTACCGCATTGTGCGGTGGTGATGAGAAGGCCAACGCCCCTTCGTACAGCCTCGTGCAGCTGAAATACTTGGGGCGGTTTTTGTGCAGGGAGGGTAGGGAGTGGGGGTGCTCGTGCGGAATCGGCCCGATGCCGAAACGCGATTAAGTTGTATGAAGCACTATTTGGCAGCAGCACGCGGCTGCTCCTATTTTGCGGGTCGGCAAGATCAATGTTTGGACGGAATATTTGGTTGCAGCACGCGCGCTGCGCCTGTCAGCGAGATCACGTTTCGGACACCGGCGAGGGAGCAACAATATCCCGCCAAGTCTCGATCCCCCTCACAACCCCCTCGCGAAAACAGCTCGCAGGAGCTGCCCCCCGACGCGGCGGAGCTGCTCAAGATGGGTGTGGACATCAACGCGTGCTCTCTCTCTCAGCTCCGGAAGATTGCTGAGGAGGCGCCGGGGTCTTCGGTCGGGGTGCGGTTTAACCCGGGGCTGGGGTCGGGGGGAACCAAGAGCACCAACGTGGGCGGCCCCTCCTCGTCTTTCGGTGAGTGGTGAGCGGTTGGTGGGCACGAGGGGTAGAGCGAAGCTAGGGGTGGTGGTGGTGGTAGCTGAAAACAGTGATGGTGGTGGGGGTGTGGCGTATGAAGGATAAATTCAAGCCACGGTGGTCGGTGTGGTGTTGGTGGCATGGATGAGGGAAGGCCAACGTGTGATGTCCAGCACCCCAAGCTGCAGCCTTGCTCGTCATTGCCCCCTTCCATTGGCATTGTAGTCGCCATTGTTCGTCGTCGCCAACTCTGCTGTTGTTGATTTTTGCAGGGATCTGGTACGAGTGGGCGGACGAGGTGAAGGAGATCTGCGCCGGCGGTGACCTTACCGTGTCCCGCATCCACACGCACATCGGATCGGGATCTGACCCGGCCGTGTGGCAGAAGGTTTGTACGGGCTTTTTCCACAGCAGCGGTGGAGGCGTGCGTTGTAGTCCAACTGTTGAAGCTGTGTCGTCGTCGTGGTCGTTGTGGTGGTGGTGTTGGCTGTGAATCTTAATCTTTTCATGGAGAGGAGGTTGAAGACTCCTTTGGGCCTGGAGCGTGCAACACATGCCCTGCGGTGCCCGCCTCTTTTGTACCCTGCGTCGCGCGCTGTGCTCTTTCACGTAGCGGCCTGCCATGCTGCTACAGTAGTCCGCTCATGAATTTCGTAGGCCGATGTGGACATGTCCGTCCAACAAAGGGGCGTGCGGGGATGGTTGCTCATTGGAAAGGCCCGATCGAGATATCTCCGAAGATGTGTCGTTTGGTATCGTCACCACCACCTTCGTTGTATGCACCAATCCAGTTGCCCTTCGTCGTGACGGAACTTTTTTTTTCTTTTCCTGCGACAAATGCTTTAAGGACGAAGGCTAACAAGGCGATCCGTATAGTAGCTAGCGTTTCGTGGTAACGTTCCGCCAAGTTCATGGGCTATGGGAATCCTCTAGTGGAATCCTGGTCCAAGCTGGCCGTGCGATGTCGATCCCTTGGCTGCTGATGCAATGCCGTTTTTCTGGGTGCAGGTGTCCGGCATGAGCTTGGACCTCGTGCGACAGTTCCCCACCGTGACCACGCTGAACTTGGGAGGCGGCTACAAGGTGAAGATGTGTTGTTGATTTCTCATCTGCTCCCCCGGTATTTTTCACTTGCCTTGTGTCTGCTGCTGCTGCTGCTGCTGTTGTTCTTGTTGCTGCTACCGAATGCGAGGTTTCAGGAACACTCTGTATATGTGTGTCTGTCTCTCCCCCCCACTCTCTCTCTCGAAAGCTCGTACGCTCGAAAGCTCGAACTCTCGAATTCTCGAATTCTCGAAATCTCGAAATCTGCAACTCTCCAGCTCCCTACGTGAGGTACCCTTACAGCCTCTTCTTACTCTGCTACTCCACCCAGGTGGGTCGAATGTCGGGAGAGCAGTCGACCGACCTGCAGGCCATCGGTGCCCCCGTGATGGGCGACTTCGAGGCCTTCGCCGAAGAGACCGGGCGGAAGCTCAAGCTGGAGATCGAGCCCGGGACTTTCCTTGTCGCCAATGCTGGTAGCCTCGTCTGCACGGCGCAGGACCTGGTGAGCACGGGCAGCGGCGGCTACGAGTTCATCAAGCTGGACGCCGGGATGACGGAGCTCCTCCGGCCGTCACTCTACGGCGCCCTCCACCCCATCGTCGTCGTACCCGCGGAGGTGTGTCAAGCAAGGGGACCTCTCCGAAATGGTAGTGTTGGACGGCTCTTGTTCTGGTTTTGCTTGAACATCGGGCATGCTCTCCGCAGGGAACTTTTTTTTTTTTTTTTTGCCTTGGGTTCATTCACCACCTTTATTTTTGTGACGTTCTTTTTCTGCAAGCACCGCGAGGTCAAGTGGGATGTACTTTTTTACCATTGTTTAGGGGCACCGGTCTTTTGCTGAGCCCGCTTGTTTCAAGCTTACCCGTCATTTTGCATTGTTAGTTTTTCGATTTGCCTCTTTTTAGCAGGGGGGCATGCGTGTTGTTTTTCAGAGGTCAAGAGACCAACTCAAGTGGCAAACATGCCCTCCCCCCACCCCCGCATCATCTCCCCTGCGGTGCCCCTTCTCTCAGGGGGAAGGCGGTGGTGAAACCGCCGAGTACGTGGTCGTCGGGCACTGCTGCGAGTCCGGAGATCTGTTGACGCCAGTGTCGGGGGCGGCTTCGGAGATCGAGCGCCGAACTCTAGCTAAGGCGGAGATCGGTGAGTTCAGTCATTGCCATGCAGGACTGCTGTATCGTCTACATATTGGAGGCGGGGGTGGGAGAAGGAGGGATCGGTGGAGCTAAATTGTGATAACTCTCAGAAGATGATGCCATTCGTGGTACTTCCTCCACTTTCGACATTTTCGTCCAAGCAATTTACGCCGCATATTTTTGGTCACTTGCTGCTAACAGGCGAATTGAATGGTTCAAAAGGGGCGCTGCTGTCGAAAAATTGGGATTCAGCTTCACTTACCACTCGCGAACCCCCCCTCCCCCCCTCCCCTCTCCTTTGCGCGCTCGCCACCCCCCGTCGCGTTCCTACTCCCTCACCCTTACCGTGTTCGTCTTTGGCGCAACCGTTGCACGTGGTTGCTCGATTACCGATGGGTCAACCAACCGGCACTTGTACGACAAACATAACAAACATGACAAACATGAATCACGCGGGCCGACGACAGGGGACTTGGTGGTGGTGGAGGGTTGCGGCGCCTACGTGGCCGGCATGAGCGCTAAGAACTACAACTCCTTCCCGGAGGTGCCAGAGGTACAACACGAATGGATTTGACCTTTAGCCTTGGCTTTGGTTTTGGCTTTCGCTATGGCTTTGGCTGCATGGCTTTGGCTTTGGCTATGGTATGGCGTCCTTTGCTGAGAAGACCGAAAGCCCTGGCGCAGTAATTGGGTGCCAGGGGTAGCCTTTGCGCGTTTTCAGAGATTTTTTGGTCGAAAGCCCTGATATCTGTCTGCGCAAGAAGAGGGCTTTGACGATGTAGCATTACATGACCGCGTTTCTATGGACTGCCGAGAACCCTGGTGTAGTGGTGTTTCGACGTGACTTGCTTCAACGAAAAAATGAAAACATGATAAGACCGTTTTCACTTGGCCCCATTTCTGCGCGGGGATTAACGCCGTGCGTGCTCTGGTTCGTAAATGTGGTCAAGCGTGAGTAAACGCCGCCCCCATCTACCACCGACGCACCTCTCGGTCGACCATTTCCCAGGCTTGCTTGTGTTTGCCCTCTCCCAACCACGTATTGTGTATCTCGTTTCCCCACACCCTTCCACCCCTGGGCCTCCCTTTCCGCTTCCTCCTTTTGTTTGGGGTGCTCGGCAGAGTGCTGATCTACGGGGGTTACTATGTTGTGATGGACATGATGCGCCCCCCCCCCCCCATGTCTACGAATCGTGAATTCTACGGTCTTGAGTCAACGTTCTTTCTCTTTCGGCCTCTGGCGAAGCTGCCTCACACAAACGCCTTCGTCCCGCTTGACCTGCTGGGCAGGTGCTCCTTGACTCCGCGGGGGAGCTGCATGTCGTTCGGCGGCGACAGACCTTGGAGCAGATCTTCGAGAACGAGATGCCGTTGCCGGCAGGCATATAGACTAAACAGAGCAGCTGGCTTTGCTTATCTACGTACGTCGAAAGGCTTTCGGGCCGGGTGGCGTTTCTAGCGGTATAATGGCCGTTTGTGTCCCCCGCAGGCTTCTTGCAGGAGAGCACAACATAAATGACAGAGAGGAGGAACAGAAATGACAAAGAGCAAGCGTGGTGTTGTTTTCAGAGTAGTGTGTTGACCCGTCGTGCTTTTGGCACCGAGGGTGGTGGGACGTGCTATCGACGTCATCATGCTGCATTGGCGGTGCAGTGGCAAGTTTAGCCGCCAAGGCGTGATGTGCTGGAGACACAAATGACGCTTGGGTCCATCTACGCGTGCGTGTTCCCTCCCGCCGAACACCACGTTTTTGGGGGGCGATCTGTTGGCCATCGGCACCTCAGCTCTTTAGGGGTGTGTGTGCCCGTCGAGTGTAGCGGGCTGTGCCGATACCCTGTTCGTGAGGAGTTGGCGCCAGGGCAGGTGCTTGAAGAAGCAGATGCGTTATCCTTCGGACCCGCGTCCGATCCGACTCAACTTCCGTCATCACCTTGAAGTGGTCGGGCCCTCTATTGTTGATGTTACGGCCTTTTTTCGATCCCTCGTTTGTCCCCTCTTTCATGGCTCGGGGGAGCATGGCAGCTGCCATGAACTACCGCAGTAGTTTCATCGAACGGTAGGCATGGGCGTACTACAAACGGTACAATGAACCTACTCTCTTGAGAAGAAGAAAAAATGCTCATGATGATTACTCTGCACATCAATACCAATGCATAGTGTACATAAATAAGTTTTTTTTTTCTGTCTTCACCTCAACTTCAAGTCAGCGCTCACAGCATATCTCGAATGGGTAGTCTTTCTGTGTGTGTATTTATTATCCCTTAATTTGTGCTGAGACCTCCAACCCGTGGGCACATAATTTATTTTCTGAAAGATCGCTCGAAATCCTGTATCCTTCGACACTTTTAGTTCGGATTCTTTCGACTTCGAAGATGCATCCTCCGACATATCTTCTTTAGTTCGCCCATCTTCAGGCAGCCCGGACCACTCCGAATTTCCAATTTGGAAAGAAAATACTTTAGTTTGAAACGGCCCTGTTGAGCGGGTGAAGATCGAGAGACACCTGTAGGATGGATACTGGACTTGATTTACTGAAACTTGTCAGTTATACTTCACCCATGCTAAAATGAAACACCCAAATTTGGCCAAGCACACCATCCACAGTCTACACTAGAGATGATCTAGATACCTACAGAGCTACACTAGAGATTCTAGATATCAACAGCCACACTAGAGATGATCTAGATACCTACAGCAACCGTACTTGATCGGTAACTCTGTTACTGCGGCTTCCGGTTGACTGAGTGGTCAGACAACCAATCGTTCAATCAATCATCATTCACTTATTTTTTCCGCGGGTAGGCTCCTCTCGTTGAGGAAAAACAGACGATTTAACACTTACAGTCTATACTACTTCTATTTGTTTGTTTTCGACTCTTGGCTGGTGCCGTTGTGTCGTAGTCGCGTTATGTTTGTGTGGGGCTCAAACCGTCGTCGAGACCCCTCCAAGCTTAGATAGTCTAATCAGCACACCTTTTTTATCGTGTGTGCACAGGGCGACGAGAATGCTGCGCTGTTCTCGCATTTTCCAATCAAGTACTTCTGGTCTACATGTTTTCTGAACCGACACACATACGTGCTCCACCTCACTATACGTGCTACCGCTACATCGCAAACACATAATCTGGACCTACCTCCTACAGTACACACACATCTGAAGCTGGCAAGCCCGAAATATGACGTACCGTTTCGGAGTGAACAGTTGTGACTTCCTCACTGCACTCACTCTGGGGGTGCCCAGAGCCGACACACCCGAACAGTCCACTGGCGCGAAAGGGATCTAAACGAGTTGCTCATCCCAGGGGAGACGAGAGCAGAGCTAATAATAGCGGTCTCCACCACGAAAACAGTTTACAACAAGTATTATTGACAAAGGCGCGACATGCCTCCTGTATTCCCCCGATTCGAGCGACCAGTCAAGGCCGTGTACCCCGTGCCTTCCGAAGACCTACCGCACCTAGGGGAGAGCCACAGCTTCAAGACCATGGCAATATGGAATCGGAAGGGAGGCGTCGCGAAGACCACCATCACTCGTTCCCTCGGCTTCACCCTTGCCTTGAAGGGTAAACGTGTCCTCCTGGTAGACGCGGACCCACAGTGCGACCTTTCCTACCTGCTCTTGAAAGAATGGGTGAAGAATAAGCAGACATCCGAAAACAGAGGCCGGCGAGGAAAATTACGACCTCTTCTTCAATCACCAGGTAGGTACGTGCTCGCGCTTGCTGTTGAGTTACAGCAGCTAACTTTGGTGGCGGCGAACTATACGCGAGTCTCCCCGCCGTCCACGGCCACGATTGCATGTGCGTACGGTCCTTAGACCATACAATAATAGTCTAATGAACGGCGAAGAGAATCTTCACTCGTATCTCCGAGTGAATGGGGGTAGAGAGAGAGACTGCGCGCCGCAGGATTGCCGCCTGTGGTACGCGGTACATACCAAACAATCTCGGAAAACACCACAAACAGGATGAATTGATAACGTGCCCCGGTGGGACACTACAGCAGTAGCGCCTGATGTATGGTACGGTGCTTGTGGAGGGCGTTGGTATGACACTACAATACCACAGGGCCGTACTATGCGACCCACCTCCAGCCGCGAAAATAACTCTTGGTGTGGCGTGTGGCGTCGAATGCGGTGTGCGGTATCGCAGAGAGTTGCGGCCGTGCAGCTTTCGGTATGTATGTGGGTCAGCTGCGAGAATCATGAATTAACAACGTGACCATTCCTCCCCTGCCACTGTGACTCCTCGGAGGAAGCATGCCAATTTGTGCGAAAGTACGTCTCCTCGCGATATTTAACAGAACCGACAGAGGGGGGAGGTGATGAGCTTGAAGTTTATGCGTTTGTATCTTCTTTGACATCGTTGTCGCTGTTGGTGTTGTTTTTGTCACGGTTTTCACCAAAACACGCTCAGAACTCTATCAAGGGCTTCTTTCCTTCGTATCCCGCGTTGATCAACCCCGTACGAGACGATGCATGACGCATGCCCCTCTCAGGTCTCGTAGACTGGATATTTTTCTTGGGCTTGTCTTTGTGGATTGATATCCCCGTTAAGCAGTTGCAGCGGGAAGCTAGATTTCTTGGAAAGCCACGACGTTTTACGCTGTTTGAGTGAAAGAGGACCATGTCGGGATGACTCCCGCAACATCCATCCAGCAGCCAACAAAGCTTGAACACCACGTCGGTCTAAATTTCCAACATGCATCTGCCATCATGCCAACGTGAAGCGTGGCAAACAAGCCTTCTCCGCCGGCACTGCCGCTTTTCGCCAGCGGAGCATGTTTTGTGTACCGAGCAGAAACTGACACCCCTCCCACGCACCCCGTCGACGTCGTTCGGACGAGTTCTTCAGGTGCCGGGTCGCCCAAACATGAAGAACAACATCAAAGACGCTTTGCGTCCGGTTCTTGAGCCTGCTGGCAGCGATAGTCCAATGGTGCAGTGGGGTCCAGCTGACGTCACCAAGATTCCGTTGCCTGAAGGCTGCCAAGGGGGGCTATTTCTCCTACCCGGACACGAGGGTCTGGTTGACTACGAGCAAAAAGTCACGGTCGCCTACGGGACCAACCTCCTGGTCGAGGCAATAGCTCCGGGTGCATGGAACAAGCTCATGGCGTTGACCGCGCGCAGTTGCGGGGCAGACATCGTCCTCGTCGACTGCAATCCCCACAGGGGCAAGCTCAACATGCACATCATCCTGACGTCCGACTACCTCTTCCTGCCGTGCACGCCGGAAACGTACTGCCACAACGCCATCAAGGCTCTTCCCTTCATCATGGCAGACTGGGTCACCACGCGGTTCAACGCCCGCAACACGGCCAGCCACGCCGGGCTGGCTCGAGACGTGCAGATTCCAAAGGATAACCCTCGCATTCTGGGAATTTCGGTCAACAGGTACACGCACATCAGGAGCAAGCCGGCAAAGAACTTCAGATACTGGATGACTCGAATCGAAAACCAGCTACGTGAAATCAGCCAGGACATGCACAAGATCCAGGGCCTCGCTGGCATGGCCGGCACGCCCGGCCAACCCGATACCTGGCCTTCGATCCTCGCGAAGGTTCCTGAGTTCAATCAATTCAGTGCGTTGAGCCACTTCTATGGCCTTCCCGTGATCGCCCTGGGCGCAAACCTTATGGGCGTCTGGAACGAGGAACACGCGGAGGTGCAAAAGTTCACAGGGAATCCGAGGCGAGACATGAACAAGAAGGTTATCTTCTTCCAGGGGGTGTTCAAGAAATTTCTGGAAGAGATCGGCCGCAAGGGTCAGAGCGGCCCCCTCCTGGTTGCCCTCGACGAAATTGACGATGTGAGTAGCACGAACACTTCCCAAACGGTTACTTCTTGTACGAACGCATGTTGGTACAAGGTAACCGGGCAATACAAGTGTAGTATCACGTTCCGTGCACGTTCTCCTGCTCCCACGTTCGTTGTGGGTGCATTCGGCTTTAGAATGTGTTGTACACTTATTTGAATATCACACAAAGACTATCGGTTCGAAGGGTTTTCCCGGAGCATATTCGTTGCAATCTTTGCAGTGGTGATGAAGGGCGAGTGATCCCTGCCGGATACTGAACTGACCTGAGTTTGGATGGACCCCTTCGGAGAAACAGTAATGAACCCCCATCAACTTACTAATGCTGTGTATGAGCTTTGACCGTGTGGTGGGCATTCACCCGGGTCTCTCGTCTTCACCCGGCCGTAAACACGCCTCCAGGATGAAAGCAAGAATGGCAGCAGCGGAGGAGCAGGCTCCAATAACGCCTCCCAAGACGTCGTCTACGTGGGCGGCAGCGGATCTGGCGCTAGCGCCGCCGTTGGCGGATCGAGCTCGAGAGGAGGAAGGAGCACCGGTGGGGGGTCGCGTGGGGGGCGGAACGGCCGTGGTGGCAGCGCCAATCGTGGAAGGGGCACCAATCAGGGCAGGGGAACTGCTGCCTCGAACATGACACCCCTGTCGGGGAACAAAAGGGGGAGGACCGGGAGGCCTGAATAATGACGGGCTTCCTGGCGATCTACCCTCTGGCGCGCGAATGATATTCAATGTCTAAGACCACGTGGCGAACGTAGGCATCTAGGTCTAGTTGTCAGGCTTCGGCCGCTTAGGATCAGCTTTGGAGGTAGATAATGCCTGAATGCCTGAATAATCAAGGATTGTCGAGGACAAGAGGTGCAAATCCGCCACGCTACTGTTTTTATTGTCAAGCCTTCATCAGGCAGATATAGGTAATCTGTGTATAGTACT